AGTTGCGTCCACTCGCGCCACACCATCGGCGTTCCCCGCCGCGGCGGCCCCTCCAGCAGCCTAGTCGGACGCACCCCTGGAGCCTCCTCGGGACCCGCTTTGTAGGCGTGCGCGCCAAGCACCTCTGCGAGACGGAGGAGGAGGCTTGCAAGGGGTCGGACTCGTGCAAGGGGCCGGGCCGCGAGCCGCGCGCGTCGCCGGTGCCCACCCCTCCCCCACCGCCACCACCTTCAGCATTACACACACACACACACACACACACACACACACACACACACACACACACACACACGCACACACACCTCCATGGACCTGAACACGTCTTTGCAATCTCTCTCACACCGCCTTGCTGCGCCTCCGCCCCGCCAGAAATCGGTGACCGAGGAGCAGTCCTCCTCCTCCTCCTCCTCCTCGCCCGCCGAGCCGTCAACCACGCCGGCGGCGGAGGGGCCGGTGCGTCGCTCCTCGCGGTTCGGCGGAGTGGCCGGCGTCTCTCACGCCACCAACCGTGGACAGGTGCCTCGCATTGCCGGCCGCGCCTTCGACGGCGCCGAGCTGCGGTACGGCGACGTGACGACGGAGCCGCGCCTCTGCTTCACGCACATCTACATCTTCGACTGGGTGTTCGCCAAGCCGACCCTCGCAAAGGTGGCCAAGGTGCTGCAGGCGTCGCCCTTCTACGTGCTCGTCTCCTTCCGCAAGCCCGCCGAGTGGTGGTCGTACGGCCTCGTCAAGGCGCGAGAGGGCCGAAATGTGGCCGAGATGTCCCCTAGATGTGGCCGAGTGGTGGCCGAGTGGTGGCCGAGTGGTGGCCGAGTGGTGGCCGAGTGGTGGTCGTACGGCCTCGTCAGCTTTCGACCCGCCGCAGCGCTTGTCTGCCCTTTGCCACACGTCCCACGACACGCCCTGCAGTGACGCGTCCGTGACGCGTCTACGCCGCGTCCGCAGGTGCAGCCCGTCGCGAAGCTGTCCGGCTTCCGCACGACCGGCGGCGAGGGCATGACGGCCTGGATCTACATCAACTTGGAGAAGGTGCCGGGCGCCGTGTGAGCGCGCGAGCGAGCGCGAGAGCGCCACTACTGTACTGGCGCAGAGACGCGAGGCACTAGTCGCGTCTCGGCACAGACCTCGATCCACCTTGTACGTTGTAGCGTCCGTGCGTCTCCGCGTTTTTGCGAACCGCCAGGTGGGTCTAGGGCGCGCGCGTCGTCCCGCGCCCCGAGTTTTGCGCCTACCAAAAAAAGTTTATATGAGTAAAAGAGTGTGCAGCGGATGAGCGGCGATGACTCTTGACTGACACTGTACGGCGTTATTCAGGACGAAACTTGACGATGGACCAGGTGTGTGATAGTGTAGACCAGACAGCCGACTGAGTCAGTGCACAGTGGGTTCTGGCGCTCAAGCCGTTCAAGGCTCATCTATCATAGCTGCGGCTGCAAAAGTGTCCCATTTACTCCTCGTCTGTCGGCCTCGACCCTCGTCTGCGTCATCGTCCGCTGAAATTTGCATGCGCGTTGGAAACGGCGCTCACTATGTTTTGAGCTACCCATCCCGGAGTGGTTCGACCCCACGCAAATCCGAGACGGTGACGGGTGTCGTCTCGGTGATCTTATTAGGCCCAGTGAGGTAGTGCATCAGACTATCCCGGATCTCCTGCTGACCAAGCTCCTCTTGTAGCTCGATCGGTCACACCGCCACCGCCGCCGACGTCTCAGTGTGAGATGATGGAGAGGGGGGACGACACTGCTTCGGCAGCGTGCACCTCGATCCTGTACCGTGTTTGTTATGACCCCCCCCCGATGAACACACCAGTGAGGCGGAGGGCGCCATCGAGGGTTTTGCGGACGATTACAAGGTGGCAGACTTTTACGCCACTGACTTCAAGTACCGCCGCTTCAACGCCGTCGAGGCGGCGCCACGCAACGTCGCCACGCTCACGGGCGCCAAGCGGGTCACGTCGCCGGGCTCCCAGTACGACTGGAAGAAGAGCAAGGCCCGTGCTTGTAGTGCTACTATTTGCAAGCCCGCGCCAAGCGCGGCCGCACCGCACCCTACCCACGAGCGGAATCCCCCGAGCGCCGATGAGACGTTCGCCTGCACACTGCCACCGAGCCTCTCCCCACGTGCTTCTCAGGGTGGCACATCGGGCGACGACAGCCCTGACAAGGCGGGCTAGCTTTCGTGAAAACGGCGCGGCAGCGCCAAACGGCAACACGTACACACGCTCGCATGAGCCGTGGAGAGATTCGCTGCCGTCCCTCTGTTGATCGAAGAAACTCGAACGGCGCGCGGCTGCCCGCATCTTTGATTTGCTGTGTGAGTGTTGAGGTGATGCGAGCGCGCGTGCGCGCGGCGCGCGTGCCGTTTTGGGTCTCTTTTATACCAGTGATGAAATGTAAACCGACTTTACCACGCGCGCGCACGCGCGCGCCGCGCTCCTCGACTCTCTCGCACCCGCCCCGAGCCACGCCCCTCACGAGATAGGCGGCTGCGACCCTGAGAGTGCGCAGCGGTGCCGCTGGCGTGCTCACCACACCCGCCCATCATGCCTGCATCATTCCTGCACGCACTGCCCGGTCTGGTCGGGGCGTGGGGCGAGATCTGGCATGGCGGCGCGCTTGAACTGAGCGCCTTCGATCGTCTCGCGGCGACTGCTCGCAGGCCGGGCGGCCAGAAACTGTGCCGCTCAGCCATCCGCCGAAGCGAGCGCGCCGGCGGCGGTCCGCCGCCGGCGCGCTCGGCTCAGTGTCTTCAAACCCGCCGGTGGGGAGCTCCGCTTGCGGGCAACGATTGACATGCGTGCAGCCTCGCTGTCAGTGAATCAAGCACTCTTCACGGACGATTTGATTGTGGAAATACCCCATCTTTCCACCGCTTATATTCAAACCAAAGGGGGGGGACCGTTGATTGCATGCACGATGCAATACTACTGAAATGTGGTGACACGAGATGTAGGACGCTTCCTTCTCTCTCGCTCTCCTTCGCGCTTCGGTGGTCCCCTCTCACACCCTCGCCCGATGTATTTCTTATGTAACAACAATAAAACGAACTCTCTTGCACAACACTGGGCACGGGACTGGCGCGCACTGGCCGCCTAGAGTATTTTCCGGGGTTTACCCAAAAAGAAATCCCGCTCCGGCGCCTGAGACCGTCGGCTAGCCTCGGGCATACATGACGTCCTTGCTGCTGCTGCTGCCTGTCGCCTCTACCAGACCGACCGACTCGCTCAGCGGTTGGCTGCACGGCACTCACTTCCGTCAGGACGCCCTCACGATCGAGATCTTTGCGCGTGACGAAGCGGTGCTGTCGGTGCCGCCGCCTGCTGCACCGCCTGCTGCAAGCACGAGCAACGAGGCCGAGGCCGTTGAGCGCGGCATCCCTTGGCCGTGGGGAGGCGGCTCGAGCGGGCCCGCGGCGCCTCCACCGCCTCCCTCGCCGCCGTGGGCCGTGTCGGTCTCCATCCACGGCCTCGACTGCCACGGCATCTCTGTCGAGGGCCTCTCCTCCTCGGTGTCGGACACCACGCCGCCCACCCTCTCGCTCTCGCTCGGCAGCGCCGGCTTCAGCTGCTTTGTCGAGCGGCTGGACGTGCAGCACGGCGGCGCCGGCGCCGGCGCCGCCGGCCCAGTCGTGCCGATCCGGCTCAGCGACCACACAGTCTCCATCCTCGGGCAGCTGACGGCGCTCACTCCGCTCTCGAGGGTCGGCATCTCCGGCGCGGGCGTCTCCGCCGACTTTGCGGTGACGCTGACTCCCACCGGTGCGAGCGGCTTGCCCGCCGCCCTCCGGCTCGACCGCTCGCGCGCGACCATCCTTGCGGGGGGGGCGGCTTCGAGCGATCCCCTTGCGTGGAGCTTGTCGGGGCGGTTCTGTAGGAGCGTCTCGATCCCGACGGGAGGGCTCGCGGTCGACGTCGAGAGCACGGGAGGCCTCGGCGACGTCATGCTCGAGGGCGTCGCCTCTCTCGTCACAAGCCTAGTTAATTAATTACTCTCATGACGACTACTAATTAATTAGGCGTCGCCTCGCTCGTCAGCGGCCTCCTCTCGACGCTCATCGCCTCGCGGGTCGCGCCACCTCGAGCTCGGGGGGAAGGCTCGCCCCTCCCGGGGAGGCTGTCTCGGACGTGTCTCGGGCGTGTCTAGGTCACGGCCGAGCTCGAGCTCGCCGTCGCCCTCGACATCAACCCCGCCCTCGCCGCCCTCGAGCACGAGGCGCCCGAGCTGCCTCCGCCGTCTCGAGCGGCGAAGCGCGGGTCGCAGAGCGGAAGCGGTTGCCGTAGGCGGCAGAGGTCGTCCTCGACTCGGTGGAGCCCCTGCCCGAGGGCCCCTCGTGGCTGGCGTGGTGCGCGGCAGCCCCGCTAGCCAGCCGTGCCACGCC